CACACACACACACACACACACACACACACACACACACAGTCATGCTGTATGACGCTGGAGACTCCACAAGAACACCATGTTTTTATATTTTTATATTGTACATAGCAGCTTACCCTACATGTATGAATGACTTATGAATATTATTTGATTTTATAGTGCTGATCTCATCACGAACACCTCCGCTAATCTTTTATTTTTGTCCTAGTAAGTATTTTTTAATATAAAACAGTGAAGACAACAACACCCATTTGTTTATTTTTTTGTTATTGTTCTTCTTCTCCTTTTTATGTGAAAATGTTTACGCTTTAAACATTTTTATTGCATTTGAAGTTTCTTTGGTTTATGTAGAAATGAGCAGAGATGTTGAAGAGTCCCGAGAAAATCTTCTTCAGAGGCCCTGAAGTTCTGCTGCTGCTCCACTCTGCTKCCACCTAATGGACAGTCAGAGAACTGCAGCTTTTTAACACAAAAACATGAAGAAAAATGCTTTTACTGAAAGATGATTTAAATATATGTTATAAATGTTAGTTTGTCTTCAGTCCCCCCTTCCAGAAGAAATATGGGACTTAAATGGGATTAAATAAAGTTTAAATAAACACTATAAATACTCTGGTCCTACATACAAATTATTCAGTTTTTTTCCCTTTTTAACTGAAAATTTGTTTTATGTTTTTCTTCTGCCTTATTCCAACAGTTTGATGTAATCAATTGTTTAGTTGCAATTATCTCACATTTTACATGAGTAAATAGTTAATCAGAGGTTTGATTTTCAACAACAAAATCTTCTCAAACCAAACATTCAGCTGCTTTTTGAATCTATTCGACATTAACAACTGAGAAGTATTCGGTTTGTTTTACTTTGATGCCATCTTGTGGCCGTTTTCTGTGCACTGCTTTCGGTTGTAAATGTGCATTATGTTTCAGATTTTAGTAAAATCACAGAGCACATTTATGACTTTATTTAAACAAGTTTATTTGAAACTAAACACCTCCCTATTTTCATTTATTTTATTTCCAATAAAAAAAGTTCTAATAAAGTGAAATCAAGTAAATAAACACCTCAAATGACAATTATTTTTTCTACTTGATATCTCTAACAATGTGAAAATAAATGTATTTATGTTTGAATATGGTTGGTTAAAGGAGTGCAAAAACCTCTCTGATGACAATGAGTTTCAGGTACTACCACAGCATTTTGACAGATGAGTTTTTTTGTGTTTGTTGACTTCAAAAGTTGATCCACTGTATCATTAATTTCTGAGAGTTGCAATAATATGGAGTGGTTCATTGGATATTTTGCTAACATACGAACAAGTAAAAGGCAACAAAGTGAAAATTATATCAAATTAAAGTCCTCAGCTAGATGTCATCCAACACAGAATTATTCATTGGTAATCCACGTCACTAATTACTTAGCCAAAAAGTCTGTTTGTTAGCTTTCAATTTTTAGCTGAATCTTAGCTTTGACGTTTTATGAAAACAAACGAGTCACATTTTTAGGTCAAGTAACTTTAATTATATTTAAAGGGCCTGTATTATGTGTTTCTCATGCATGTMGTTCAATTCTACACCAAAAATTAAAGGCACTGTGTGTAGGATTTGTTGTTTTCAGCGACATCTAGTGGTTGAGTGGTTGAATCATCCTCCCTGGTCCTCCCCCCACCCCC